GAACTGAAAATGGAACTGGACATGGAACTGAAGCTCCCAGCTCCTGCCCTGAGCCTTCCACACTGCAGAGCTCACAGAGTCCTGCAGTGCTTTGGGCTGGAAGGGATTTCAGGGACCAGGCTGCTCCAAGCCCTGCCCAGCCTGGCCTTGGACACTCCCAGGGATCCAGGGGCAGCCCCAGCTCCTCTGGGAATTCCATCCCAGCCCCTCCTCACCCTCCCATCCAGGAATTCCTTCCCAATATCCCACCCAAATCTCCCCTTTCCCAGAGGGAATCCATCCCCTGTGTCCTGTCCCTCCCCATCCCTTTTATCCCCAGTCCCTCCCCAGCTCTCCTGGAGCCTCCCCCTCCCCAGGTGAGCACCCCCAGCCCTGCAGAGGGGCTCCATGGGTGGGCCAAGCACCTTCTCATAGTTGGTGTAGCCCCCCATGACTGCAGGGTCCACGATGCCGTTGAGCAGCATGGACAGGGGGTGCACGGGCAGGCTCCTGTCCCACATGTGCTGCTGCACAATGTTGGTGATCTTCTCGTTGGTGAGCTCCATGGTTTCTATGGCGTTCTCCAGGGGGCTGATCTCCTCCTGAGGGAGGGGACAAACAAGAATGAACCTTCTCTAGAGGCACAGAAGAAACATTTCAAACCTTCACTCGATTTTTTTAGGGAGAAGTTCTTCCCTGGGAGGGTGGGGAGGGGCTGGGATGGAATTCCCAGAGGAGCTGTGGCCACTCCTGGATCCCTGGAAGTGACCAAGGCCAGGTTGGAGCCCCCTGGGACAGTGGGAGGTGTCCCTGCCCATGGCAGAGGTGACACTGGATGATTTTAAGCCCTCCCAACCCAAACCATTCTGGGATTCCATGTTTCCATGTGATTTATTCCTCTCCACTGAGTAAGAAACGAAACATTTTGCTTTTTATCTGTGCCACATCCAGCAGTGGAAGGACTGGAATTCCCAAGAGTTCCAAGGCTTTATTCCACAAGGGATTGGAGAGGAGGAGATCCCCCGTGGAGAACTCACCGTTGTCACCTGCTTGACCTCAAACCACTTGAGGATGCCTGGAAATGAATAAGCTGTCGTGTAGGTTGTCCTTTCTATCCACATGTTCTGGTCAGAGAAGGGGAAAAAAAACCAAAAAAAACAAAAAAACCGAGATGTAAGGAAAATACTGGTGTTGCAATTCAAGTCTCCTGTGTGGAATGAGGCTTCCAGAAGGAGCTGGCAGAGATTCCACAGCCATTCCCACAGCCCTGATGGGAGCTGGGCTCACACAGCCCCACATTCACGGATTCTGATGGATGCTCCATGTTCAGACTCCAGCCATGGAGCCCCCTTGGCATCACCCCCAATTCCATGCCCTTTGTGTCCCCGATTTTTAATTCCCAACCTCCACGTGCACAGGCAGAGGGAAAAGGTGACACTTTGGTCAAAATGCCACCAAGAAAACAAAGAGAAGGCAAAGGACTCACAGCAAACTCGTTGTCTGGGTCTTTCTCTCCTTTCCTGACAGGTCTGGAGTGGGTGAATTGCTGCACCTCGTTGGCTCTGTAGTAGCTGGGGAGAAGCAAAATAAAAATGTGATTTTTCCTCATTTCCCATCCTCCCCACTCAAACGTTCAAGGGTTTCCTCACGGCTTGTGGGGAGGAATTTACACAATTCACACGAGACACAAAGGCACAGCACCTTGTGCCCAAGTGAGTGGGGAAAAACACAAACAAAATGTTGAGGGAAAAGAAACACGAATTACTTTAAGATCTGCTCAGGAACAGGTTTATCTTTGTAATTGGGTGGCAGGTTCATCACAGGCTTTACAATGAAGCACTGCACATCTGAGAGCTCTGGTTAAGGATGAAAAACCAGGAATCCTTTTGGGAAAACAGGAGAGGGAGAGAAAAACCCTTCCTGTTTCCATTGTCAGACTTTTCCACAACTCCCTGTGCTCTCATGAAGCATTTTTCTTCAAACCTGACTAATTCATCACCAATCACAGGCATTATGCTGCATCTTGCAGTTTGTAGGCTCCCTTGTGAATTAAAAACCCAAAAAAGAAAAGGACTTTACAAATAACAATCCCAGACTGGTTTGGGTTGGAAGGGACCTTGAAATTCATCCAGTGTCACCCCTGCCATGGCCAGGGCCACCCCCCACTACCCCAGGGTGCTCCAGCCTGGCCTTGGACACTCCCAGGTGCTGAAATTCCCTGGTGAAAATGCTTGGGAATCCTGGGCACCAGCGATTTCTGCTTTTGGGAGGAAAAGGAAAAGGTTCTGCAGGAGGTTCTGTGGATGCATCTGGCTCTTCTCTCAGCCCACAGTTATTTATCAGAGGCTCCTTCCCTCCCACTTTTTACATTCATGAAGCCAACTGAACAAAGGAATTGCTTCACCCTCAGCTTTTGCACCTGTGAATAATGACAGACATTCCAAAAATTTTAGTAATTGTATCCCCAAGCACAACCACTTATCATGTTCCTCCAAAATTCTGCTTTAAGGACTGTGCTGAGGCTTTACAGGAGTGAAAACCTGGCTGGAAAAGCAAAGCTTGGCCAACCTGAGCCCATGAGGAGACGATTTCTGTGAATCCCCTGCCCTCTGGAGTGGCAATGGGGGGTGAAGGCAGCCCCCACACATCCTCTAATTCACTGAGGCAGCTCTGAAGAGCCAGAGCACAGTGAGGAGCAGCCAAAGCTGAGCCCAAAACCACAGAGCCACGTTAGACCAGGCTCTGAGCCCAGGCTGCTGAGTTCTGTGTCAGGAGAGCTCCTTAAGTCGGGCTTGGTGCCCTGCTGAGCCCTGCACAGCTCCCAGTGCTCAGCTGGTGGGGACTGGGCTTTTTTTGGGGTGCAGGGAAGCCCTGGGGCTCAGCACAGCTCACCTGGTAGCCCCTGCACACTATCACCTAAAGAACGAGGTATTTTGTCATGAAAGAGCCAAAAAAAATCCAGCCTAAAGAAATAAAAAAAGAGCCTGAGGCAAAGGAGGGTAAAGGAGCCTGGAAGTAAAACCAAGCCCAGCAGCAGCAAGGCCTGCCTAACACACCAGAGATCTGGGCACTCTCATCTTCTCAGGAGGTGTTTGTGGGAGTCCAAGGAGAACCTGTCCCAAATCCAAGCCCTGCAGCTGCTGCCTGAATTCATCCCAGGGCTGTGCCAGAGTCCCGGAACACAACACCCCCAAACCTTTGGGAAGGTTCAGATCTGCATCCAAATTGTGCAGCTCGGGTTCATCCCGAGCCAGGAACATCAGAACAAACACGAACAGATGCAAAGGAAGCAGCTGAAACAAAGCAGCAACACAAGAGGCATTTCTGATACCAAGTCTGTGAATGGATTTTCATTTCCTCTGTGGATTCAGAGCTTGGCAGGAGGATTCAGGGGAAGCATCTGCTGCCACTGCCTGGCTTGGGCCTTTGTGCACAGGGTTTGAGAGCCAAAATGGACCTGCAGATTCTCCAGCCTGGCCTGCTGAGCACAGGCTGGAAGCTCAGAATTTGGTTTTCCTGGCGTGCATCCTCCAGAAGCCACTGGCAGCAATCTGGAGCATCTCCACTGGCTCACACTCAAAGTTCAGATGTTCTTAAGCCTGATGGGGAGCTTGGGACACAGCCTGGAGTTCCACCAGCAAGGGGGAAAAATAAGGAATAAAAAATAGTAATGGCTCTGCACCCAACAACTTTGTCATAATCACACTCCTTACAAAGGGACTTTCAGGGATAAAAACACACAAAGCCCAGCACTCATAAATGCTAAAGGGCTGCAAGGAGGAAGGGAGTGCCCTTCCCTTTCCATGCCACTTTCACAGCCTGCATTTCACATTTCCACCCAGAAATGCCCAACTGGGTCCCACCACGGCCAGAGCACTCAGCACCACCTGAGAGTGAGAACACAGGAAATCCTCCCTGCAGTCTGCTCCTCACCCTGACAGCCCCCAAGAGCCTTGAAACCCACCCCTACACCTCTGGATAATCCCATTGTCATACCCAGTGCTGCCTCCACATCCCCCTGGAGCAATCCCCCCCTCGTTTGTCATTGCTGCTGCCTCGCTGTGGGGCAGAGGCAGCTCTGGGGTGCTCCAAAATGCCCCCAAAACCCAAAAGATACACTGTTTGGGGGAAGCCTTGATCTCCTCTGCTGGAGGGGCTGTGCTGGTCATCTTCTCAGCACTGGGGAACTGCGTCAGCAGCTTCAGGTTAAAATCCTCCCTCCTCTCGTACTCCTTGCCACGGTAAATGAAAATTTTATTCTGTAGGGCAGGAGAAGAAGAAGGGAATTAAAATTTAACAAAGCAGTGGGACAGAGATTTCCAAACCCCCCTTATGGGAAGGTTGATCCCAGCTGGAGAGAAGAGGTGAGGGAAGGAATGAGGCTGGAATGAGGGCACAGCAACTGCCAGGAGCCAAGCCTGGCAAGGGGAATCTCAGATTTGTCTAAAAAATCCATTTCTTCACAGAGAATCATCAAACAGAGCTGGAAAGGAGCTTTTAAAGCCACCTGCAATGAGCAGGGACATCCTCAAGCAGGTGCTGATGTCCACAAACACATCCCAGAGTCACTCACACGGGGAATCTCAACCAGCAGCTGATTTTTGTAACAGAATAAAGTGCCAAGAAATTCTTAAATTCAGGGAGCTGCCTGCCAGCCCCTGGTGTGGGAATTTTACCTCAGTCCCATTCCTGACCCCACCACCCACAATGTCCAGCCCTGGCAGTTTTGCTTTATACACCCAACACCAGACCATGGCCAGTTATTTTTCCACCTGGCAGTGGTTTCTGGAAAGGATGGATTCCAAAACATGAAGCTGAAAGCCTCCCATGCCATCTCCTCACACAGTTCTAACTTAATATTCTTCTTTTTTTTTAAGCTTGGTTTCCACTGAAGACCAGAACATCAAACAGCTCCAGTCTGAGAAGGTAAAATGGCCCTGAATTTTAAATAACAGGAATATTTTCAGACCCTGGATTTGAGTAATTCCTGTCCTCCACACAGGCCCAGCAGTGCTCAGCAGCTGCCCCAAACAAGCAGCACCTTTGCACTTGAATTCTTCTGTGTGGGACAAACTCTCCCTGATCACTGAAATCACCCCTGTCCTGAAAATTTGGTTGAGTGAGGCTGAAAAACAACAGGATTAATTCTTCACAGGCTGAGCCTTTTCTAACAGCAACAATCACATTTCAGAGGTGTATACAGTTTGTATATATCCAAATTATGTATTTGTAAATAATACAAATAATTTTGTATTATTTGTAAGTACAGAAGGTAAATTCTGCTTCAATCCATAGAAAAATTTATCAATCATCTAAAAAATCGATTGTAACGCCCTGACTCCACTGGAGCTGGTAAAACACAAAATTTCACCTCTGACTTGTCTCTTTTTAGACACTGAAATGCTCTGAAACACTCCTGGGATTTAGATCTGGCAGTGCCAGGAAAGGAAAAGGAGTTTGGCACCGAGTTTTCCTGGAAGCTCTGCAGAAGTTGTGACTTTTGGGGTCTCCAGCACTGATAAAGTTGTGACTTTTGGGGTCTCCAGCCCTGCAGAAGTTGGGTGGGGAAGGATCCTTACCCGCAGGAAAGAGGGAAAACCCTGCCCATAGTATCCAACTGCAAAGTACTCGGGCTGGGGTCTCATGGCCTTCATGATATTCTCATAAAATGTTGCTCTTTTTTTCTGGAAAAGAAAACATCACCACACACTTTCACTTTGGAATGCTCCAGGACACTGCCAGCTCCCACTCCCAGGGACAATTCCTCATCTCTGAGCTCTGCCCTCTTCAAAATTGCTTTTTTTTGATGCAGCCTCTCATCCTTATCCATTTACTTGATTAAATATTTGCTTTGTCTGGGCCAGAACCAAGTTCATTTCCTGGTCTGCAGCCATGAGAACAATGCCATGGCTTTTAGGGTTCCAGAAGGATACTTGAAATCCTTCACTGTGGGAAAACAAATGAAATATAAATATATTCTGAAAGTGAGCAGACACAAACGGTGACAAATGTCAGAGAACTGGCAGAAATAAAGCTGGGCAGATGATTCTGCCATGAAAGAACATAAAGACCATCTGGTTCCATCCTGAACCACTAAAAAGCAGAATTCAGAGCCAAGAGGATTTTACAGCTCTGTCTTCATGCCCAGCACTTTCACCACAGGAAAAAAAATAAAGTGATGAGATTTATGGGGCCTGAGAATACACCTTGGTTGTTACTTCACTTGGTTAAAATCAAGAATTCTGAACATCTGCACGTGGTATTATCACGCTAATTAGGAGGTCAAAAGAAATTAAGAACATATTTATCCTGCTACTAACCTTTACAAAGCCATGGGGTTAAGTTGGCTTGTTTGTCTTTAACATAAATTTATTTTAGGCTTATCCTGCTTGAACAGTATTAATTTAAGCAGTCAGCAGCCTGCTGGAAAAGGAGAAAAAAAAAAATCCTTACCAGGAGATCACCGATTCCCTCATAGTCGAAGACCTTGTTTTCATACATGTCAGCCAGCTCCTTGCTCAGCTCAATGGCTTTTTCCCACATCTCCACAGAGGGTGAGGACAGGCAGCAGGAGGAAGAAGAGCACAAGCAACATGAAAGACTCACTTAAAAGCCTTCATTAGCACCCATAGGTAAACAAAAAAAATGCAGCTGATTTTCATTCAGGCACCGCTTTCATGCTCTGCCAGGTTTCCCCCTCAGACTCTGCTGTGCTTTTTTATTTTTGCAGGGATTATTACAGTCGTACACATGTTGTGATTTGGAGATCTGAGGGTGGTTTACAAAGCCAGGTCTCCACTGGGATCCTGACAGGACAAAGCAAAGCACTGGGAGGAGGAAGGACAGGTCTGAACAGCAGGGACAGAAACCCAGGTGCTCTTCTCCTCCAGCAGCACTTGGGGTTCCTGGGGTTTGGAGAGGGGTTCCTGGGGTTTGGAGAGGGGTTCCCTGAGTTTGGACAGGGGTTCTCAGGGTTCGGACAGGGGTTCTCAGGGTTTGGACAGGAGTTCCTTGATTTCGGACAGGCTCCTTGTGTTTATCTCATCATGGAATCACAAAATTTGGGTGGAAAGGGACCTCAAAACGCAGAGCCACCCCTGCCATGGCAGGGACACCTCCCACTGTCCCAGGGGGCTCCAGCCTGGCCTGGGACACTCCCACGGATCCAGGGACAGCCACAGCTCCTCTGGGGGGAATTCCTTCCCAATATCCCATCTAAATTTCCCTTATTTCAGCTTAAAGCCATTCAGCCCCGGCAGAACCCTCTGTCCCAGGGCTCTGCAATCCCAAAATCCTGACAGGAGCCACTCCCAGGGGAAGGCAGGCAGGGACACACCTGCACTGTTCCCACCCACCCCGACCCTCGAACAGCTTCACATCCCAGGCACCTTTGGCCAACACAAAAACAGGATTTCAACATCTGCACACAAACAGGTGCCCTGCTGATGGCAGTGCTGGGATCCCTGTCCTAAACACAGCCAGCTGTGCAACCACATCTGCTTTCACCCTTTTAACCAACCCAACCAGCTGTGCAACCACATCTGCTTTTACTCTTTATTTTTTTTACCCTCATCTGCTTTTACCCTTTTAACCAACCCAGCCAGCTGTGGATCCACATCTGCTTTCACCCTTTTTTTCCCCCACATCTGCTTTCACCTTTTTTT